GCCCCCCTATCTTCCTCTCTAGTTGTCAATCACTGCATTCTTTTTGTTTTTGTGTGTCACAATCCCCCAATCGTCATTAAGTGTTCAGATCAAGACAAGAAGTTCTTTCTGTCTGTGGAAAGACTATTCAATCTCTGTCTATCAGTTTAACTAAACACACACAAATAGTAAATGCGCTGTCCTCTCATTCCGACCAATACTCTCCGAGCGTCAACTTGTCTTTCAGTTCAACATCAACTTCATTAGACAGCTCCACCTTCCAGTCATTCATACATTAGGAGACAATGCCACTTCACCCGGTCACTCCGTGGCTGACAAATCCTCTCTGCTATGACAGCAACAGTAACCATACTGCAGGCAAACAGAGCGTGTGTTAGTTTTACTAAACTCAAGTCAGGGTTTCCCATACTGTACAGGACATAAAACCTCCAAATCATATGCACTGGGTTCGTTAATGTTCGGCAAAAATACTATGCGGATATAAGCGCCAATAAAATATTCCAAAGTAGCGATAAAAAATAACCATAATTGATACTAGAACAGCCAAACTCTGTGAGAAGTGAGCTTAAGACATGACGTTTGCAGAGTGCATTCCCAGAGAATAACATGGTCCAGGGAAAAATGGGTCAGAAAAGTAAAATTTATGGCCCTTAACCTTCATAGGCTGAACAGAGCAATATCCAAATCAAAAACTGACTATACTGAGGAAACTCTGGAGTCTCCATCATTGAAGCTTACTGTATGGGATCCAGGTAGAAGTCTGTCATTACCTTACTGTACTGACCAAGGTCTTAGAAGCAGGGATTTCCATGTAATGAAGCCCTCCATTGACAAAACCTCAAAGGAGGAGGAGGAGGTGGAGGAGTAGGGTGGAGCATGCCTAGGCCCTGACATAATAGCACACCTACAGGCCCGCAGCCGACACACATGTCGAAGGTAAACACGCGTGTCAGAGGGCACGGGAGCACAGACAGACATGATGAATGGCCCGAAGTTCCCACGAGGCGACACACATACAAACGCGTTTGCAGAGTGAGGAAGGTGATGTGTGGTCAGCCCCTCCTCATCACTGCAATACAGAGAATCCCATTCACACACTGCACCGACCCTCAATGTCTCATCATTACTTATCACAACAAAGGCACTGAAACACCATATCTGTGATTCTACCAGTGTATGTGTATGCGAATGTAATTTAAAAGCATTGTGAACGCAATGCTGCTTGCTGGTTGAAAATATGGATATGAAAAGATACCTTTTTCGGTTTAAATGCCTTACAATGAGGGCACATGCTGTACATCTGTGTGTGAGTTTGTAAGGGTGTGTGTGTGTGTGTGTGTCCGAGCCCCTCAGGGAGATCACTGAGCAGGGACATGACCTTGGCCAGTACAGCTGGTCTCTCTGTGTGTTTAGTCATTGTAACCATGGTAATGGCGCTGTGCAGACAGGATGTCTACATTGGGGATTTGAAAGTCATAATGTCGCTACTGCTCTAAGCTTCATTATGCCATGGATTACTAACAAACGATACATGAACACACTTCACGGATAGAATTGATTTTCATGGTTACAGGTTATTAAATTTACACTGCAAGTCGGATAGCCCATTAGCTTATGCATGTTTGATTTAATGACATGCTAAAAAGGAGTATGCATGAGTCCATATTTTGCTTTTGTAGAATGGCACAAAAGATTGTGTTTCTATCCAAATAATGACAATGTGAAAACTGTTAAGCAAAAATTCAAGACAAGGGCATATGAGTGTGTAATTGATAGAGCTCCTGGTTTTATGCTACACTGAGGAATTAATGTTCTTTGTCTATGTGGCATTTTTGTCCAATGTGTAGTTTGGTAAAGTAGAGAAATATAACAAAACAATAAAGCAAAAATATGCACTGAACCATTGGCTTTTTTTATATCGTTCTCTAATTCTCCAACTCAGACTAGCATGAACATATTTTCGAATAAATATATTTTACACTTCCATTTCGGCTTTCCACCTGTTAATTGTGAATTAACAGGTGTTGCAGGTGTTTTCTGATACATGGTATGTTGTGTTTAGTCATTCTTCCCCTCTAGCTCAACTCCTCTGCAAACCAGACTCTGCACCTTCCCTCACAGCTATTCTCAATCTTTTCCCTCTTCTTTCTTCCACCACTTCCTCCATCATTCTCCGCCTCCCTTCTTCCATCCATCCATCCATCAATCACTCTCCCATTTTATCATCCTTTTTTTTCTCCATCATTTACTATTTCCTCCCTAACTCTCTGCTACAACTTCTCTCTTTTGCTTAGTCTTGCAGAGACATTCTACTAATGTTTGCATGATTTTCCCCTCCATCTCTCAAATTGTCAACTCCCCCCTACTCTACCTCTAAAAATTTCCACTTTGTCAATTCTGCATCTCTTTGCCTGCCTCAAAGCTGCTGTTACCTTTTTCTTTGCTCGATTATCTTTTTCCATCACGAAAATGTAAACAGAGATAATATCAGCGACATTCCCAGTGTCTACAGGAGGATCAGGTTGAGTAAGCCACTGCAATGTTGTGGCATGTAGTATTATCCCATTCAGACTATGGAAACATCTCAATGATTAGCTTTTCAAAATGTCCAAACACATAATTTCTCTGTTGTGCACCTACAACCTGTGACCCAAGACTCATTTAATGACTAGTTCCTCTGGAGGCCATCTGTGTGTGTGTCTGTGTGTGTGTGTGTGTGTACTGTACAGTATGGTGGAAACTCAATCTGGTGTGGGATGATAGAGCAGACCCGCACCGCTCCTTATACATCAAGCATGCAGCTCTCTATCTGAAAAAGGCAAATATGAAAATGCACTCTGTCTTTTTTACTATATCTCTTTATATCACACACACACACACACACACTTGGAAACCCATCATACAATGAGAGGATATTGAAAATGATTCTTTCATTAACATTGTTGAAAAGCCAGGAGTCCTCTCTCTCTCCCTCTCTCTCTCTCATACACACACACAGAGAGCTCCGCAGTTCACTGGGGAACGTGCCTCACATGGTTTGCTTCAGCTGGTCTTCTTGACAAATGCCACATTACAGCGGTGAGGAGAAACTTGGCATGCAATCAAACTTCTCTCATGATTTCTAAGATTTGAAATACTTCAGTTTGTGTAGCCCCTCAATTCCATCCTCCCCTCCCTCTCATTCTGTCTTTCTGTCTCATTTTCTTGTTGCTTTCACTCTAACTCCCCTTCTCGCTCACTCTCTCTTGTTACCTCTCTTTCTCTGCCTTATCTTTCCTGTTTAGTTTTCCCTGTGCTAACTTGGACCAGAGCCGTGCTGTGGGAATATGGCCCCTTTTAAAGGAGAAAGCCAAGGTTTGTGTAAGTATGTGCATGTCTGCAGACGTGACTGATTATATGTGAGTTCCACTGAGGTTGTGTGTACATTCTGCATGCGTATCTTTGTGGCTAGTTCAGATGTAAGTCAGTCTCACGAAGCTTCGCCCCTCGCAAATTCAACAGTCCTTTAATCGTCATCATCAGTGACCCCAAACTCCTGCCTCTGACCTCCTCATACACACAGACACATACAGGTTCAAAGCCACAAGAGACCACACACACACTCGTGCCCCCTGTGCCCCCTCCATTAGCTCTTACCAGTGGAGACTTGCATTCAGTCAAAGTCTCAAACACAAAGGCAAAGAATCCCATCTACTTTGTGCTGTTTATGTCAACCGACCATCACACTTACCCTCTTCCTCGGACCTCTTTAGAGTGGTAATAGAATGATAATATAAGCAGCGTGCCAATAAAATAGAAAAGTATTATTCCCATTTCTCTAATTTCACGTACATTTCTCTAATTTCACATACATTTCTTTTTATTTCACGCACATCCCTAGAAGCATGGATTGTGTCAGTATCATATTTAATACATTTCCTCTGCTAAACATCCCTGGTAATGTTTGGATGGTGGGAATTGGAACAGACAGGAAGATGTTTTGTATCCCAAGTGCATGTGTGTGCAGAGACACGGGCAAGGGCGCTCTCTTTCTCGGTCTCCGGCACATACACATACGCATACACACATTCCTTTAGAGTTAGTGTGATCAGAGGAGTTTGTGAGGCGTAATGGATTTCAAAAGTTGTGTTTTCAATACATATGTTCCAGCCTTCCCTTTTGTACTGTACTGTGTGGCTGACATTAAAGGCATTTCTCTGTGACAACCAGATATATGGCTCCATGCGCCTTCAATCAGAGAGCTCAAAGCAAACACACATGTAGCCGCTCCACTGACAGATCACTGAACTTTACTCACACATTCATACATACCCACTGACACACACTCACACATGGAAGTGCAGCTAGAGCTGCTCACTTTTTTCTTGTGTCCTCCTTCTCATCACACATAGGAAAAGAAAACAGCCAAACACACATTTTTTCTGACCCCCAGTCTAAAGCTGGACCACCTGTACTCAATAAATTTTACTTTTCACAAGGCAGCTATAAATAACTGCTGATCCTGCTTCAAATCACACCTCGGCACTGATATCTTTATAACACTCATGCACAGATGCACATGTGAACAGGTGAGCGTATAAATGTGCCTATTACAGTATCACAGACAAGTTTCTGCTGTAGCAACAGAGCTGCTGTGAAGGGCAATGAAAATGTGCTTGCTGATGTAATGAGCGAGCCAATATCAATGAAGGATCATTGATCATATACTTTTATGGGCTGGGTGTGCAGTCACTACCACAAACACTTGTGGTTTGTTTTTTCGGACTGTTTATCTAGCTCTTCATGCAAATGCAATTTAATTGATTCATATTAATGCAATAAGCCAAGTGGAAGTCTTTCTTTCACAGATTAGAGAAATGCATAATCATGAATGTACAGGACAGCACATGGTCACAGAATATGTGATCATTATTATGTGTGGCCTGTAACAATTTAAAAAGAGTTACTGCATGAGTAGATTAAGGCAGATAGGTTGATAGATGGCTGAGTGTGAGACTAACTTCATCTCCAGAATCTCCTCCAGCTGTTTGCGTCTCTCCTGGCGAAGACTATTAAGGTGTCCGTCTCTCTCGTGCAAGGACTGCTGAGTGGAGGACAGATGCAGTTTGGTGGCGTCCAGCTCCTGGCGTGTCTTCTCTAAAGCCCCCATCAGCTCCTCCAACTATTCAAGGGAAACAAATGTGCACAGGTTTAAACAGTATCAAAACATACCAGGATACTTGCCACATGTCTCTGTTTACATTAAAGCATATAACTTACATACAATATACTTGCAGTCTCACACACATACACAGGGACATGGTAAAATAATCAGATACACTTTTATTCCACTACATTCGGGTGTGTTAAAATGCCAGAATTCAACACAACAAATGGCCAGTTGACATCTAAATGCAGGTGAAATGACTATGGTTCAAAGGTTAGTTGAATGATATGTCTGCTGACCCTTGGACTGGAAACAAGGGTTCTCTCTTCTCTCCCACCTTTCTCCACTTATTTTATCTCACTCTCAAGTGTGGCCCTACTTTAGAGCAGGTGAGAATAATGCTCAACCCCTCAACTACGTCTCCTCCCTCTGCACACACATGCCCTCAAGCCATGCAGGCCAACCTGCATGTCTAAAAGACAGGATGTGACCTCAGGGTGTCATTATCCTAAGACAGGAAGGTAATTGTCTAACAACAAGTTCTTTACAATAGGATGGAGTACTGGGCAGGCTCGTTCGGATTATGTAAATGGTGGCCACAGGAATTAGAATTTATCTTTGTTCAATTCTGATGATGCACAGATTTGAGATATAAGATAGTCAAACAATAAATTCTGAAGTGTTGGATCTCAAATGAACAAAGGGAAAGAAAGTGAAGGAGAAGACAGAAAAGAGAAGCAGTATTCAGGGGAAGCGCTCCATGGGGTAGGACATGAAAAAAAGGAATGGGCCTCTTTTATGAAGGGGCCAAATCGTTCACACATTTTCAGGACACTCTCCATCTCCGCTGGCTTTCTAGGTGTGTTTCACAGATGTCAGATAATGTTCTCACTGACTGTTCATGAATATCACATATGGAGCGAGAGAAGAAAAGGTGAAAGCCAAGCGAGTGGGGAATACAGATATTTTAAATGGTGGGAAAAGAGACAACTTTCTGTCATGACTTCCTTGAAATGTGACAAAGCATTGATTTAAAAAAAAATCCCTGCCAACAACAATTGACCTTAGTAGTATCCAACAGTTAATATACCCAATATCAACAAGACATCCAACCGTCCACAATCACACCATGCTTAATGTTTGATGTCTTCTTTCAGGCTTAAAACAATCCAAAGCCAGTCTTTTCATCTTGAGAGTCAAGGGTCACACACACACAACTCCATTTACACCCACCACATGTCTATCAATCCTCATGCACCGTCTGCCTACCTCCCAGTTCCCCATTATCCACCACCCAGGCTAGCCCTCACTTCACAATCACATCATTAATAAGGAATACAATGCATTTTAGTGAAATTAGGGACCTAATCAGCTTAGCAGTGAGCCTGTGCGTGCTAATTTAGCTCAACTTCAAGGCAAAGCCCCCCAGCCAGGCTAAGGCTCACTAAGACTGGCCCAAAGCCCCTTTAGGTGCTAAGCTGATTGGGGGCTCAGAGGTAAGGTCCAAATCCCTCTTGTCCATTTGCGTCGGTGTTGCTGGTTCAGAGGCCTAGTTCAAACGCCACAGAGGGAGAGAGAAGACGAGAGACGGGAACAGAGATGGAGAGAAAGGGAGGAGATAATTGGCTGAGACAAGTTAAGAAGGCAGGTGGGAAAGAACGAGGCTTGGGACAATGGATGAACAGCAGAAATGGTGGCAGGAGAAAGATAAGAGAGAGAGAGTGAAAGACTTAGAGAGCGGGGGTGTGAAGAAAAGTGACCCAGGGCATTACCCATGCTTCATTTCAGTAGGTCAGTCTGATGGAAGACTTTGTTTAGCGTATTACACATCATGAGACTGATTACTCTGGGACAGAGGGGAGAAAGAAGAAAGAAGAAAACCAAGGAAAGACTACGGGGGGGGGGTAATGTGAGAATGTGAGTCTGGCAGGGCGCTCTGAAACTGTGCCAGGGTCAGGTGATGTTTCAGAAGGACCTGTCCCACTCTCTATTCCCCCAACATCCCTTTCCACACACACTGTTTTTCTCTAGAGTCTGAGGGAAGAGCGGCAGTTGACTGACGACTGTGTAACTGCATGTTAATGGCATGTTGACTCCTGCCTCGTTATGCGGTGACGTCATGCTGGCTCACAAAATTCAATGTGTTGACAGCGCCTACTGTAGCTGTGAGCATCAACGATGGAGCAGCTAGAGTGCCGGGTCAAATGGGTACCTTTCCTTCAGTCAGTAGCGCGACTGCAACTCTATTTTGGGTCTATACATGTCAAGTGCAGACTCCAGTATGACTGCATGCCGGCTCATTATGTTCTCTATGTGGAGGGTCTGGATTGACTTGAAATGGAAGCAAGTTGACAATGACTTTTGGGGTCAATGAGTTAACGTTAACGTGGCACAAGCAAGGAAAAGGTTTCCCTGACTCTGGCTACGCAGGGGTAAACTTCGGTCAAAGCTGAATCATCCACTTGTTTGCGTGCGAAAAGTCCCACAGACATAAATATTTTTTCGGACTTCTCAGTGGATCAGAATATTGTTTGATAAACAGTATCCATGCTGACTGTAAGTCAAGCGTGTAAAGTACAGAAATTGAAAAAAAGAGGGGAACAAAAACAGCCACAGTGAGCATTGGCTCTAACAGACTTTTCTAAACTGAGTTTGACCTCTTAATTTCCCACTCCGTCCACCAATCTCCTCACTCACCTCTAAATGTGTGTGTCTGTGTGTGTGTGTGTGTGTGTGTGTCTGTGTGTCTGTGTGCGTGCGTGCGTGCGTGGGTCCGTGCGTGCGTGCGTGCGTGTGTGTGTGAGCATATGTATGTGTGTTTGAAGCAATGCAGCCACTATTCTGCCTCAAAATGTTACTTCTTGTTTTAACCGCCGATTGTTCTCATGTTACTTGTGGCACTCATCAGTAATGCAAGGTCATTCTCATTCAAATGCACACTCACACCAGGAGGAAACACACTCCCTTGCCCTGTTTCTCTTTCCCACCACAGACACATCCACGATCTCTCTCACACTCACACTCACACACACACACACACACACACACGCACAACACATAAACTTTTTAGACTTTCTTAAAAGTAGAGACTGACCAGCTGGCAGTCAGAAAGACTCACAGATAGCGGGACAAACAGAGTAAAAGGGCAGCCTGTACTCCATCAAGACTACAGGTCTACACATTTGTTAATGAATTCTGATTACATGCACATAAACTCACAATATGTTAAACATTTGCTCACATTTTCAAGCATGCAACAGCAAACTTAATGAGCAACATAAAATGGAAAAGGAGATAACAGACATTAATTTAAAACATAACACTATTTTGCAATAATGTTATTTGTTGTTTAATAGTGAGATATTAAGGGATTAAGGATCATTCATTAACGGCAGTCTGCCTGCAGTTACACTCTTAGCCACATGGGTGTGCACTGCAGTTAAGTTCCTCACATTTTTTCCAGTGGTCCTTCTTAGTTCTAGGTGAGCTGTTACCTGCATTCCATTTTAAAGGTAGGGATGCATGGGACTATCTGTGTGTGTATGAATGAGTGAATACAGTATTTGGTTTTCGAATCTCCCATTAGTGTGTGAAACATCAGGTAAACCTGTCTCTGAGCCTGAACACGGGCAGTCTCCTCTTGCACCCAGAGAGCCTCCCTATGTGCGGAGGTGTTCATGCTCTCCCTCAGTGCCCTCTCCAGCTCCCTGATCCCCTCAGCCGTCTCCCGCATGGCATCCTGGGAAGCTGAAAGAGGAAACTGACAGGGCTAAAGGAGTTCAGAGGAGGAGGACAAGGAAGCGGGTTGGAAGCAAAGTAGCAAAAGCCAGGGAGAGAGTGTTTTCTTTGAGTATACTTTGTTTTCAAAACTCATCATCAAATGTTTTTGCATTGGAATAACACTATATTGGCAAAAGATAGCTTGAGAAAAGGTGTATTTGTTGATCTCTCCACTAAAAGGAATCCAGTTCATGTAAAACAGAAACAAAAAGAAAGCTGGGGTGAGAGAAGAGCAAGACTTCTCTCAGAAGAAAGAGACACAGCCAAGACAGAAGAGAGTGCTGAGTGATGGAGAGAGAGAGTGTGTAAGTGATGTGACCTTTGCTGACATCCATAGGATTGTGCGCGTATGTGAGTGTGGGTGTGTGGAGTTGACCATGCGCTTTCACATGCACAGTTTGTGTGTGGCCTCCCTGACTCCTATGGTGTGTTGGGGAAAAGGATCCCTCTCCACACTGGGTGATGGAACTGTGAAAGAAAACACTGGACAGAAATAATAAACCCCTGATTCTCTCTCTTTTTTTTTTTTTTTTTTTAACTCTCCCTCCTACTCCTCAATAGTTGACTAGCTTTCAAGTTCACACTTTCACACTTTTCTGGGAGCAGTGCAGAAGCCTTGGAGTTAAAAGGATAAGGAGACACTTTCAAACTGAGCAAGAAAGAGTTCAGTTACACTTGTTGCAAAACACAAACTAGAGGTGTGATGTAGGAAATAAAATAAAAGTAGCATTCTGATATGAACAACTGAATATGAAATATCATGTTAACACTTGTTTAACCACAGTTTGTACAACCTTACATAAAGATAGTAGTTACTTAAGTTTCTATAAGAATACATTGCATGAGAGTGAGAGCAACTACCTGCTGTCTATAGAAGAAATGGTGGGTGTTTTGAGGGTTAGACTAAATACTGGAAGCTGGAATTTGAACTGAACTGGGAACACCACAAGTTTGATAACACAGTTGTAGAAGTATGAATCATCATGACACAGTACAACCAACAAGTTGCCAGAGCAACAGACATTGTTGGAAGCAACGAGGGTGCGTCGGAAACTCTATCCAGACAGCAAAAAATAAAAAACGAGTGAAAGAGAAAATTCCCCGGCTGAAATGTTTCAACGTTTCCCAAAGTCATGCTACAAGCACTGAAACTGATATTTCATTTCAGAAATGGCTGCATGTAAAAGCCAGTTAGTAAGTTCAGAATGCTTAGAAACGCTTGAAGCTTTGCAGGTAATAGCTGATATATGGAGCTCAGCGTTAGTGTGCGTGTGTCTAAGGTTATTATAAAGTAATGAACCAAATAGGCACATTTTTTTTTTGTTTTTAGGTAAAACAGTGGCTCACACATGGTGAGTCTATTCTGAGGGCAGAAAAAAAGAAAACAGTAAATGCATGGAAAACTAAAAAGAGTCAAGGGAACCAGGCACATGGAAGATGCATCTGAATGACCAATTAACTGCCCTCAAATAAATATTACAATGAGTTTTGACTTGGTCCCTGTATCATACATTGATAGTGGTCAAGAAAGCTCCTAAAATTCAAGAGCAATTATTAAATAGCTGGGCTACTTCATGAAAAATACTTATTTATGACCAAAAAGGCTAATCATCGGACTTATTCAGTGATACTGACAGAAACACCAGCGACGGGATTATCCCTGAGTGTGATGAAAATAGTGCCAAGCCAGCCAAATCGCAAGCGGATACTTGTGGCTCGTCACGTCAGCACGGCACAGCTGGAGGTGAGCGACAAACACCCGCACACACACACATACAGAGGCAGGTTGTGTGCGTCAGCAGTCCAAAGCTGTAATTGGATGTGACAGACGGGCAGTAATTCGATGCACCAGAATCAACAAGTACTGGTCTGACCCCGCCTAACAGACAGAAACACACACATGCATGCACGCACACTCATACACACACACACTCATACACACACACACACACACCCCACTGAGATAGGGCTGCCACCACTGGACCCATGAATGAAACCTGACCAGAAAGCTGTGTCTGCCTGTGTGTGTCTGTGCATATGTGTGTGCGTGTGTCCGCATATGTGCGTATATGTCTGTCTGTCTGTCTGTCTCAGTGCATATCTGTGTGTTATGTGATTTTTATTAGTAACAAGAGAATATTGCTGGCTTTCATGAATACAAAGAATGGAAAAAGGGCAAGAGAGATACAGAGAGTGGGGAGAAATGGAAAGATAATTGCCTCTGCAGCACCAATCATCACCTAATGCCCTTGGGAAGGATCATTATGGAGTCTAGCCCTTTCTGGTGTGATGGAGGGATTATAATCACTAAAATAAACGAGCAGAGAGTGAGAGAATGCACATTTCCAGAAGCTGTATACCTATAATCCTCGGCTTCACAGGCACACAAACCACACATACATCTGTCTCTGTCAAAAAAAGTTAAGTGTGCAGCATCAACCTCTCTGTGTCCTGTTTCATGATTTAAAAAATGTTAAGCATGTGTGCATGGCCAGAAGTTTCAAATACAGTTTCAGTCAAATGTACAGACTGTGGGAAAAGGCTTCGAGTGAATTTGTCTCTCTTCTTTAACTGTCCCCAGATTTTTCCATAATTCTTGTGTTTCCAAATAGAGGGGTTGGGGGTGGGGGGGGAGGGTATTGAGTGTCGCTGATGCTTCTCCGTTACAGATAAAAGAGAAATAAAAGGCTTGTGTGAAGGCTTGAAGTGAACGTTTCCGATGTGTGTTTTCTCTGTGTTTGTGAAGTGCAGCGTGGCGCGATGGAGACCATGGAGCGGAGAGATGCTATCACTCTATCCCACATAAACTCCCCTGGATGGATGGGGAGAGGCAGCAGTGAGGGAAGGCACTGTTTGTTTGTATTTACCCTTGGAGCGTGTTCCTGATGGATCCAGAGATAAATGGAGAGAGAGAGAGAGAGGGAAGGAGGGAGAGCACATGGGAAAGAAAGGGAGATAGAGGCCACAACTCATTGTATTATATAGATAGATGGCGAGCTGGAATATGTGCTGGTCCCTACAACTATTATCTAGTACTTTTAAGTACTAAGTAGTAAGTTTTACATTGCTGCTGTATTTAATCATATTGTTCCTAACATTTTCTTATATATTAGTTACAGTCGAAATTGTGTCGTTGGACAGGTCTCTCAGGGACTTTTTTTCTCAGGGTTTTGTTGATTTGTGTTTTGTCTGGATTGTTGTGTTGTCCATGTTATGCTTTTGTTCTGCACATTGGCTTCAGAGAGGAACACCATTTTGTTCAACTGTATATTCGTATATGGATTGGACCAAAACAGATAAGCAAATCAGAGATATATTTTATTGGCGTGTATGTTGGCGGATAAGAAATAAACAAAAATGGAGAAAAAGCTGTACAGAAATGCCGTACAGAAAGTATTGAGAATTTTCAACTGTAAAATATAATGCTTACAGCACACCTGAGCACAGTTCATAAATAACCAAATTTAAGGGATTATAATTTTTTTTTATTGTTTGTTAATGATAAGAGTTAATGTTAAAACAGGTCAACAGCCATGCTAGCATGCTAAAATAATGTGCAGCTGAGGCTGATGGTACTGTTTTCCAGGTAGTAGTCATATACCAAAGGGTTGAACACATTTTAAAAAATTCACCTGATAAAATCAGGTGATCACATCAAATAGTTTTTAGGATTGTTCAGTTTCAGCTACCTACTGACTGACTGACTTTTACATTTTCAAATACTTACATCAGCATTGGCCAGGTTTTGATATGGCTGAATGACAATAAACTTGAGCTTGAATTCCTGCATTTGCTTGAACACATGTATTACCTCTGGTTAGTATTTTATAATACATTGAATATACACCAACAAAAAATTCAGCTTCCTCTGAAACCTTCCCTTTTGCTCTTTTTATGGAAGTCATCTATCTCCCTGACATCAATTCCACTTCTCCCTTGCACTTGTCCCTGTACCTCTTTCTTTCTTTCTTTCTGGCACTCACTTCATGTCTCTTTCCGGGTTGTAGAAATATTAATGTGTGCTACTCAGACGCTGTTTAGAAGAGGAAATAGGATGTTGGATGCTGCCTGCCAGCACACACAGAAATAACAAAATATCTCAACCAAAAACAGGCTGAGAGCAGCTCTGGTTCTTTTTGGCACAGAGGTACAGAGAGGTGTACTCTACTTCATCGGTCCTGTGGGAATAACCTGGCATGGCTGAGTTCTGCATATTAACAACTCAGCATTGCTCTGCAGGCTAGCGTATAAGCATGCACACAGACACACACACATACTGTCAAGCGAACAGCTGACACTCTTGTTGACACCTTAGGAGAACTATACAAATAAAAAATGGTAAATCATGATTCTCTCTCCTGCCTCACTAATCAGTTCTTTACTATTCCCATCTGAGCCATTATGCCGGCGCTCCTGGCTGGCGTATGGAGCTGATACTGCAGGACTAAATGCCTGTCTCTTCCACTTAGATTCTGAGATGCACTGAGGGAGGTAGGGCAGGAAGCATGGAAGACTGGAAAAGGGCCCTCGTTGCTCAGAACAGCAAAATTATACACAACGGGAGAATGTTGAGAGAGATGAAGGAAGGGGAAAAGATGATCATTTCTGAGGAACAGCTTGCAAAAGAGATGAGGAGGAAAGAAGAGGGCAGAATACATGAGTACAGTAAGAGCCAATCTGCACACTGTGAGATGAATAGGTGATGAAGAGCTGAACTTGAGGCGAAAGAATGTACACATGTCCACCAACACACACACACACACACACAAACCTGCGACAAAGAGTGTGCATGTCCGTCAGTATGGGCATCTTTCCTCATCTCACCAACCATTGTCTGCTTCTGGATGTTAGGAGACTTCACTTGCCTTCAGAGAGAGAAATATGGGTGACAACAGATAAAGAGACGCTCAGTAAAGAAATGTAAATTAATCATTAAAACCATAGAATACAAAAAGATTTGTACCTCACATAATATGACATATGCACACATTTGCAAGACAACCAAAATATAAAATATAGACGTACGGACGGACAGACAGACAGACAGACAGACAGACAGACAGACAGACAGACAGACAGACAGACAGATAGATAGATAAATGTTGTTTTACTCATAGTTTTGCTTTACAGTATTTTCAGAGTTAAACAAAGCTGGCATATTGCATCATACAGGTAAATGGTTGATCCGTGTGTACGGTAAGGCAGGGAAGCACTGTGCATGTGTCTTGTCTTAGTAACACTGGGACAAGACGAGACCTGACTGATGGAGGTGAGACACTGCTGTGTAAATCTTTCAACAACAAAACACACAAACACATGTAGACAGGAGATGGAAGCACATGCACGCACACAAACACAAATCTTCCTTATGTGAATGAGGTAAGTCTACAGATAAGAAGAAGACAGGAAGACACAGATGCATACACACAAGTGCAAGTGTTTTTAGAAAATAAATAAGTCCATAGAAACACACACACACACACACACACACACACACACACAGGATAATAAATCAGCTGTCAGTGTTGTGCATTGCCGAGGTCCTGATTACAGAGCAAAACCTGCCAGGACGGCGGTGCATTTACCTCCACACAAAGAGCTGCTTCTTGTCATTTCCTGAACTTACTGAGAACTATGACACACACATACACACACGCACACAAACACACACACATCTATACATAGAAATATATAGAAATATGCATAAAACACAAACACTCACATTCGTTAATACACTCACTGGCGGACACACATGTGAACCCACAAAACTCATACACCATAGGATACACACAGCTGCCCTTATACACGATCTATATCTTCTCACAAACACTTTCAACCTAGAATCAAAACACAGTCTTTGAGCTCCCAGTTTGGCCTTCACACTTAAAGAAAAACAAATGCATAGAAAGTGTGAGAAAGCTGACAGTGACAAATTAGCGCTTAAGAGAACCCTCCAACACTGTAAACAGGCTGTGACCAAGCAGCTGCTAAAACGCGCCACATTATTATTCCATATCCACACGGGTGTGTTTACTCTGGGCAAAACATACAAGCTGCCCCCACATATGGGCAAATATTTGCTGTCACAGCCCTTAGAATGGTGTGTGTGTGTGTGTGTGTGTGTGTGTGTGTGTGTGTGCTTTTGTCAGCTTTTATGAGTGATGTTGGTATGCAATTAATGTGAAATGCCTAACAAGATGATGAATAAATTGAACACAGTCACCTTGCCACACACAGACACAACATAGTGCATTTTAAAACCAAAAACTTGTACAAAAACTCAACGTTGGTCAGTTTATTAGGCCTGTCATTTAATTTACTGTCTCTGGCTTACTTCTTTATTTCTTTTTTTTATGACTCTGCTGTTGATTTTATACGTTCTTTATCATTTTTACGAGTGGGTTTTGAAAAGGGTTGCGTAAATAAAGATTATCATTTAATTCTGTTGCCATTATGAATGAAGAAGATGTACGCACATGCACATGTGCGTACATATTTACACAGTGCAGAGGAGGAGGAGAAGTTATCTGTTTATACTCTGATCTTTGATGTCTGTGTGTGTGTTTTCATAAGCTCAGAGGCATGTCCATGGAGATCAAACATGCCATGAGGGCATATCAGCTATCACACACAGCCGCCACTGGCACAGGTGTATAAACCAGCAGACATGCTGGTCCCTTTTCATTGCTGATAAACACCCATCAACCCATCAGTGCAAAATGAAGTAAGTGTTTTGACCACTGAGAAGGCAAATGAGGGCAAATAAAGTGTGAATAAGGAGCAGACGGGCTGGGCTGCGTGTGAGTGGAAAATATGAGGAGAACTGTGATTTGTAGAGTATTGAAATAAGTCAATTCAAGGGGGGAGAAAAGTATTTTATTGCTGTGACATTTCTTCGAAAAATGAAGTGAGACAGAGAGAGAGAAAGAGAGAGAGATAGGAGGGAGGGAAAGAGAAAGAGAAAGAGAGAGAGAGAGAGAGAGAGAGAGAGAGAGAGAGAGAGAGAGAGA